GGTGTGTGAAAAGCCACTTGCCCCTTAGAAGCCATGAACTGGGAAAAGGCATCCTGCATGAATGCCTGAAATTGTGCCGACCATATGTTCTCCTGCGCTTTGTCGCTGGAGTGACACGCTGGAGTGTGGTCGGGTGAAGAAGCTGGTGAGGAGGGATTGGAGGAATCTAACTGTTCAGTTTCCCCAGGAGGAGATCAAGTTTTGAGAACTTCCTGGGCAGTAGGTTCTGAGCTGGGTGCCACCACTGGGACAGGGGAAACCATACTTGTCCCATTGGAATTGGTTCTCTGTGCTCTGCTAATTTGTCGTTCTAAAGCCAAATGTCTCCTCAAAGCCTCTCGCTCAGCCGTTTTAGATTGTCCCTTCTGAGTAAGGTGCTTTGTTTTAGCCTTCTTCTTCCCCCCCACCTCTGGTTCAGAAGATCTGCGTTTTTGTTGCTGCTGTGGGGGGGACAATTGAGGGACCTGTGTGACTGAATACGAGACATTGTCTGCCATTGTGCCAGGCACCCCGAGTAGGCAATGCCTGGAGTGGGGGAATAAGATACGCAGATCAGATGCAGATGCTTGGGGCTGATGCCCTCTTCTGCCTATACAAACAATGGCCGGACAGACAGGATTCTTTGGACAGGAGATCCTGCAAGGCAGTGACTAAAGGTCACTATAGGAACAGTTAGAGAAATTATTCCTCCTCACCTCCTCACCTAAGTCCAGGCTCAATGCAGTTAATATCTCTCTCCCCCAATCTGTGGCTGTGGCAACAGACCACGATCAGAACTGATGGTAGTTCTCTTTCTTTTCCCTCTTCCTTCCTCTTGCCCCAATGTGTTAAGGTAACCTCGGTCAGGCAATTGTATAAAGGATCACTTCTTTATCTGCAGGGGAAAAAGGCCCGGATGGTAGACCCACCCACAAAGGAAAACAGCGGGTTGATCTGCTCGTTCAAAATGGCGAATGGGAGGAAGCCACGCCTCCCAATAGTAGCCAGAGAAGCCACGAGGCTCAAACAATGGCGGATCTTTAAATTCAGCAATAAGGTGATTCCCGGTTCAGTAATTCCTTTGGCCTTAAGGGGGCTGCGCCTCTCCGCTGAGGAGAAAGAACGGCGCTAGAGCTCTGCTCTGGTCAGGGCGTGCTTCTTGCGCCGCTCAGCTGATCGATGCCGAGCGGCGCCGCGGTTTGCTGCTTCCCACGCCGCTCAGCTGTTTAGCGCCGAGCGGCGCCTCGGCTCCGTCAGCCGAGCGGAGTCGGCCACTCAGCTGTTTGGCGAGCCGGAGAGCGGCTAGCAATCCGGTCTGAACGGTCCCTGCGCCAAATAGCTGCTCGGCGGGCCGGATATCGGCGAGCGATCCGGCCCAGGTCCAAGCCTCCCCAGCTAGCCGCCCTGAAGCCCCTCTCACCACTCCGACGATCCTGGCTGCACCCGTCAAAGTTCCTAATCAGCTGCCAGAAATCCCTGCTTTCAAATCGAAAGGACGAGAAGATTTTTTCTCTTTTTTTGGAGTGAAATTCCTTTTTTGTGTTCTAAGAGCTGCTTCTCGCACTTCTACCAGGCTTCGAGACTGAGTCAAAACTGGGGTCACGCCCAAAGGAAGGGGTGTGGCCAAAGTTTTTACCCAGTCTGCCGGGCAGGAAGGCTGTCATAGAACCCATCCATTAGACTCTACAGCCATCCTGCTGGAGAACTAGCCAGTAGCAGAACAGGAAGGAAAGCCTACATTTCAAACTAATTGGACAATGTGATTTATAACTGTTAATTGAAGGAGGGAATTGTGCTTTGATACTATGTGCTCAGGGGAGGGGAATCCAGTTTTTGGCTTCAACTATATTAGTGCCGAAGCTATGCTACTCCCATAAAGATTCTTTAAGGTAAACAATGCCTTGAAGTTCTTTGAAAAGTTTCATCTGTCGGAACCATGACAATTATATTCATACACACACACACATTATCTGCCTAATGTGTTACGCTAATTACACTAATTGTTTAATCAGATTAATCTAGGCTATTTGGAAAGAATGATGACAGAAATCAGAGAACTATACTTCTAAATGGCACATATGTTTGAAAATAGCCACAATTATAACTTCTAAAAGAATAGCATGGAGAATGCCAACATCACATATTACTTTATTTCTAATAAAAGTTCAAATTTATAGTGATAAAATGCACTTCCAATAAACAGCCAAATTTTTGAAGAACTTTTAATATTTTCCCATAAAGATACATTAAGTCCACTATGAAAATGTATAAATCTGAATGAACAGCTTTCCACTTGCTCCAAGAATCTTTGTTCTGATCAAATCTGAAAGTCAACCTCACATTTATTATTTCTATATGTAACCATATGTATCAGTTACCAGATAACAATTTATTCCAGATATATATTATTTCCATAAAAAATATTTTATTAGAAAAATTGCCATTTTCCAATATTTTCTATTTAGAAACTATTCAAAATCTGTAGCAATCTGAGAACTCATAGCTTAAATCAGTTCCCCAATCTTCTCAGGTTGGCGGCCCGGATCTGGGGGGGGGGCAGGCATGTGTGTGTGTGGGTGTAAGCACCTATGTTTCTGGCAATGCTCATACAAGTGGGCCTAGAAATGCCTATGTGACACTCACGTGAGTGGGACTGCAGAGGGCCACAATGATGCTTGCACGAGTGGGGCTGCGAACACCCACAAAGCAGTGCTGCTTGTGGGGAAAGGGCCATGCACATGCAGGCACCAGCCAGCCACTCATATGGCCCAGTGACAATTAGGCCACAGCCCAGTAGTGGGCCACAGGTTGGGGACTCCTGGCTTAATCAGGAAGGAAAAAGCAGCAACAGCTGTACATTATTTTTTTTTTACAGATAAATACCATAACTAGTGTTTCTCAATAGACTATATTGGGTCCAGTGCTTTTTAAGCTCTTCATGAATCATCTCTGGAGTTAAGGATTAATAGTGAGATGACTACATTTGGTGAGTTAATGTTTTAGGATTACTAAAAGCAAAAAATAACGCAAGTGGTTTCAGAAGAATATTTCAAAACTGAAAATAAAATAGCAATGAAGATCATTGTCACAAAATAAAATGGAATGCACATGGAAGCAAAAAGTTAACATTATAAATATTCTTACAAGGACCAAGTTGATTAAAGTTCCTTAGGAATGCGTTACATAGCAGAATGGAAACTATTAGGGCAACTGTCTATATAAATTCTATATAGGGAAGATTAAAAGTGACACTAAAAAGGCTGCCAATATTTTATGCAGTATAATAACAGTATGCATGAAAAATGCAACTGCATTTGAAATACTATATGCAATGTTAATCACCAAGATTAGGAAAAGAGATTTTAGAGCTGCAAAAAGTAAAGGGTATGCGTAAAAAATATATGTAAAAAAAAAAAGAATGCCCTATTTTCATATGTCATCCAGCAAATTTTAAAAGCATCCAATGAAGTACAGAGGCATTCAGAATTGTCAAAAACAATCACACTATGTCCTGTTAAACTACAGAATCTAATAGTGCAAAGTGTGATCACTTTAAAAAAGGATCACATAGTCATGGAAAATAAGCCTATATTGAACTAGCAACTATCAATAGCTATTTATCATTAGGGCAATATACATTTTCTAGAGAAGTTTGCTTTAATTCAGCAGTTCCAACAAATATGACTTCTATGAATGTACTCTCACAGGAACAGCTGTTAAAGTGGACACACCAACCTCTGGCAAAGTCAACTACTTAAATCATCAATGCTTTACTCATGATTTTGTTACATAGAATTATTCCAAGTGACTTACACAGCCCTACTGGTTATGATGGATTTTATACACATAAACATACTCTCTCCCCAATATCAATGCCAATTGTTGGGAACTACACAAAGAATGGCCTATTGCTCCCCAAAATATTATTTATTACTATGGATAGCAATTCTATGAGAAGGTTAGATAGAAGAATTATCCACCACACTTTTTATTATATTCTCAGGCTGGCATTAATTAGAAAACAATACACTATTTTTAAGATATCATAAAACTGACTTCTAAATCAACTTGCCCAAAAATATACATAATGAGACATGTCCTCTTAGATTTGTTAATCTAGAAAGTGCACCTCAACATTCACATGCAACTATTCAAAAGCAATCTGAGGTTGATATATGTGGCTGCAAGAGAGAGGCATACATAGAAATTATTAATACTTTCAAAGCAGTAAGCTTAGTATTTACACCTGAGAAAGATTCCTCTTGGGGGGAATGAAGCAACGCTTATGCAATTTTCAAGGTCAAAGATCTTTAGAAGTATAAACAACATGCAAGATATGATCACCAAATTCAACATAATTCTGTCAGACACTGAACTATAAAAATCTAACAAAGAAAAGGAATTTGAAATAGACTGCGCTAAATCATGGTTATCACCTACTAAATCCTTCCACACGCTGCTTCAAAGAAGTGGTAGACTTCAGTAAACAATAATCATATTTTATTATTACTATCATGATTTTACTCTTTCATCTGTTCATATCCTGCGAATCTTGCAGTCTTGCACTACTTTCACACGTATTACTGGGACTTTTATTTTTATTGTCAGCCTCTTAAATCGGGGTATTTGTGGCATTTAATTGTTCCTATACATACAATGAACAGCAATGAACTGGAAACACATCAAGCACTGTGAGGACTGAATCAAAAGGATAAAAGCCATTCTTAACTTTTGAAAATGTACTTTCAATGTACCCCTCAGTCATCACACAGCAATCGCTTTCTTTCTCAAGCCAAATCCTTAAATTACCGTATCACAGACACTCCCTGTCCATTTAACTTACAGGCAAAGCAGCTACCTCCCCTGAGGATGCTAACCTAACGCCTGTTTTTCCACCCTCTCCTCGCCAACCCACACCCCATGTCCTGAACACAACCGGGCTAGGGGAAGGCGAGAGCCACGGCGGCAACCCCTGCCCTCTCGGCCGCTCCAATGCCTCCGAGCCCGGCGTGGCAACTTACGGGTCAGCTAGGTCGGGCCCGCGCCCGCGGCAGTCGATGGGGTTCAGCTCGTCTTGAGGGAAAGCGTGGGCCATGTAGCTGTCGTAGCCGAAAGAGAACATGCTGCGGGCGGCGTCGCGCAACTGGGCCCGGAGCTGAGGGGGGAAAGCCCGGTTGTAGCGCTGCTCGTACTCGTCGTGGCCACTGCGGCGGGACCACGAGGAAGAAGCAGCAGTGGGGTTGGGGCTCTCCCCGCGGCCGCCATCGCCTCCGCCGCTATCGCCTCCCCAAACTCGTCCCAAGAAAGAGGCCCAATGAGGAGCTTTGAGGCACCGCGAGTTGGAGGAGTCTCCTTCCTTGGCCGGGCTGCCGCAGGAAAAGGTCCGGAGGCGCTGCTGGTAGAAGCCGAAGCTGGGCCCCGCCAGCCACAGGAGGGCTTGCCCAGCCAGTCTCAGGGCCAGCAGCGCCAACACCAACGACCGCCATTGCATGGTCGGAGGAGTCGCAGCCGCCACAGCCTCCGCGCTCTCCTCTCACGCGCATACTTCTCGCGGAAGTTGTACTCGGAACGCTCCGCGCCTGGGGAGCGCGGGCGGGGGCCGAAAGCGAAGCCGCGCAGCGCCTCCCCCAACTCCTCCTCGGTCCAAAGAGTGACGCGTTTCCTTTAAGAGCGAAGGGTGTGACAGGCGGCCGCGGGCGGAGGGGAGGCAGAGTTAGAAAGGAAGCATTGTGACATTTCCACGGAGAACGTCTTTGGATTCGCCTTCCAAAACTTCCGGAGCAAAGAGCAGACGGATAAAAATGACGTCAGCGTAAGATGCTTGTCGCCGTTGACCGCGAGGGAAGGGCTTTAGCTGAGAAAGAGTGATGTGGCACGCTGCGATTTTTTCCCCCTCCGACCCGGCTTAGCCAATCAGAAAGAATGGGTTAGCTTCTGGGCGGAGCGATATTGCAATCCCCTTTGCGAACTTGGGGATTGGTTGGCCTTTCCGCCGCTGGATCGCTGGGAGGCGTGGTTTATAGTTTAGCTAACTGGCTAATGGGAAAGGGAGTTTACGTGTCCTCCACCCCGAAATTCTTGGCGCCAACTAAAGGCTTTGCCACCTATTTCCGTGATTTCTATGTTTTTACTACACTAATCGCTTTTCGACTAGTTGCCATCAAGTCGCTGCCATCCACGTGGGTAATTTCTTCTGAATGATGTATCCCTAATCTGACCCTTCAGGTTTTAGGACGATGCATCCATCACTATAATAATTGAGTTCATCCTCTTCGTCCATGTTGTGTAGTAGACCGTGTCTTCTGTCTTGTGTATAGAATTTTCATGAGGACAATGAGTTGTTTCGGGATTCCCATTTTTTCAAGGATGTGCTGCACTTTGATGTTGTGACACAGACTTGTCTATAATTAATGAAATAATTTGGAGTATCATTTTTGACTTTCTGTATTACCTAGTATACATCTGCACTAATGTCTCTGCCTTTTCTAAAACTTTTGAACATCTGGCATTTCTATTTGCATGAAGGGCTCTAATATGCCTTCAATGACCATAACTGTTGTGGGAAGTCAGCCCTCCCCAGAAGGAAACATTAAAAAGGGGGAGAATATTATCTTTCCTCAAAGAATCTTAAAAGAGGCAGAAAAGCATACCCAGTTTTTTCTTAATATCCCCAAGTCTCCCTCCCCCAAGCAGAAGCCAGCTCTGTAAAAATACAGCTGTAAACTGTTCAGGACGGTTGAAGCTAGAAGATTAAGAGACTGTTGAAAGAAAAGTCTTCATCCTGGTTCATCCAAGCCGGGGATAAATAAACAACGTGGCAACTGTTTTAGAAAGAAGGTTGCAATTTATTGAAGAGCCAGACCGAAAGATGGTTCTGGCAGGAAACAGGAGAGAAACAAGGGCCGAGCATGTGTGGCTAGTAGGTTTTTATAACCTCTGAAGCCTTTTGTTTGGAATGGTTCTCCGTTCCTGTGGCATGAACTTTGAGGCTATTTCCTGTGTCATCTATTCTGACCTGAGTCTAGGTGTGCCTCTCTGGTATTCTTGATGGTGATGGGTTAGTCCTATTATGTCCCATCTCAGGTGGGGTATGCTGATTTTAGGTCTTTGTCTTGATCTCCTAGTTGGGGCTTTTCTGATGGTTTACATCTGCATTGTATAGGGCTGGCTTCTGCTTGGGACAGAGAGACTTGGGGGCAGGGTTGGTTTCTGCTTTTAAAATCCTTTTGAGGAAATATATTTTTCTGCCCTTTTAATATTTCCTTCTCTGGGGGGCTGACTTCCCTCAAGACAAAGACACCTAAAATCTACATACCCCACCCAAACTTTAAGACAGGACATAATAGGATTAATCCACAGATGCCAAAGGGCACACTCAGACTCAAGTCAAAGTTCATGCCATAGGAATAACTCCAAACAAAAGGCTCCAGTGGGTATAAAAATCCACTCCCTACATGTGCTCTCTCTCTCTCTCTCTCTCTCTCTTTTCTTCCAGAGCCATCTTCCTATCTGGCTCTCTTCAATAAACTTCAACCTTCTTTCTAAAACAGTCGCCATGTTGTTTATTCCTGGTTTGGACTGAACCATGATGAAGACTTTTCCTTCAACACCATTATTTTGCTACCATGTGAAATTAAAGATGATGTACTACATGAGAGTTTGCATCATCTGCTAAGTCTCCTTGTATTTATATTAGACTGACCTTTTCCAATATTTACTGGGCACTTTGTCATAATGCAGATATATTGGCAAAGCTTGATTAGAACTTTTATTGATCTTCTGTTGCTTGACATATTTCTGCAGGTATTGCATTAGTTCCTGTAGCCTTCTGACTTTGTAATAAGTGGCATAAATTCATTTTCTAACAGTAGAACTTGTAAAGAGGTAATATCTTCTAAGGCAGAATCCTAGGGGGGACAATGTCACAGGGGGTCCATAGAAGCTTAAAGAAATGTTATGATTTAAATATTGAGTTAAGTCTTGGTGGTCACAAAAGGGTCTGTGGTGAAGAAAAGGTTAAGAACCACTGTTCTAAGGTATCCTAGATATTGGCATCTGTACCTTACAGAATTTCAGTATACTCCTTCCATCCATCTTTGATCTTTTTGCAATCGGTTCCATCTGACCATTGCTATCTTTTAGAAAACCTATCTGAGTTTGCAACCTTCTGAGGTTACAGATCTTTTGGAAGACTTTCCATGTTTTTCCATATCTGTTTCCATCTTCTGTGCTTTTACAAAGGTCATTTGAATTTAGCATCTTATCTTTTAATGGCTGTCTATATAATCACTTTACCTTGATAAATATATCCATGATTTACCAAAACACCTTCCTATACTCAGGGCTTTTTTTGTCATAGAACGCCCAGAACGGGGTTCCGGCACCTTTTTTGGATGGAACCTTGTAGGGTAAGCATGGCAGGTTGTATGACGTGTGTGAGTTCCGGTACCTTTTTTTTTTCAAAAAAAAGCACTGCTATACTACATAATGCCTAATATAGGGTGCCCCCTTCTTTTAACGGAGATGGCCTTCATGTCTTGGGGACCAGTAGTCTCTGTTTATCCCTCACAGGAGTACCCACCTAATACACCATGCACAATAATGAGGCAGCATAGCAGGACTTGGGGGGAAGGGAGATAAGTAATTAAATGAAGCAGTTCTGTTATCTTGAGTACTCACAACATGCACAGGTACAATGCTGTGAGAAATATCTATTTTTCATCAGTTAATCAGATCTTGTATATACACGAAATATTATAGGTTATGAAATTGCTCTGAAGTTCTGCAGTTTATTTACTGTTGAAGGACATATATGCATTTAGCTTCAGAAAATAACCAGAACCTGCTTGTAATTTACAAGAATAATATAACTCACCTATTTCCTGAGGTTCTTTTTTGGAAGGATTTTTTTTTAATGTTGAGAGTACTTAGACAATTTGCATTTAGCTTTTGTTCTGCTATGAAATTCAGCAGCATTCCTTTTTAAGAGGAATAATTTTTGAATTAAGAAAGTCACGTTATTTCAGTTAAACATTTATATTTAATAGCACATGAGACCTCTTGTGGATTATGAGCTACAGTTATGTTCTTTTTAAATTTCCCTTGATCACGCTATTGCTTTTTTAAAAAAAAGGCAATGATAAAGCAAAAAAAAATCACACACGTTAAACAAAATATCATAAGCAATAATGGCTATGAAACCCTTATAGGGGAAGAAAGTAAACCTTCAGTATTAGAACTACTGACAATTCTTGCAAGTTGGTTGGAAAAGGATGTGTTGATTTTGGAGACAATATGCCAGATTATATTAGTAGCAAATTACTGTACAAAGATGGTTGGTATGATGGAAAGCCTTCATATTCGGTGTCATTAGGTATGAGATTGTGCTCATTAAGATTGTTCTAAACCTGCTAACAAGAAGGGGTGAATGTATGCTTTTATTTCATTTTTTTCTTTTTTTGTATTTTATTTTTTATGATAAAACAATAAATAATATTTATTTGTATAAAAGTGGTTATGAACTGGGAATAAAGATTGCTCCTTTTTTATTTTATTTATATTTTCTACAAGGTGACTCTGGGCAGATTCTAAAGAATATCAGGTCTCCTGCTCAAGCAGGGGGTTGGATACAGTATGTATAGTTCTAGGCCAGGGATCTTCAAATTTGGCAGCTTTAAAACTTGTGGACTTCAACTTTCCAACACACTTGTGGACTTCAGCTCCCAAGTCTTAAAGCTGCCAAGTTTGGAGACCCCTGTTCTAGGCTCTACATCTAAAAGGGTAACAGCAAAATGTGTGCAAACCAAAACAGGAGTGGGGAAAGAGACACAATGAAGTGGATAAGTCATTTGTAGCATAGATAAAGTGGACAGAGTGTTTCCTGTTATCTCAACCCATGGCAGCTAGTAACTATCCAATGAAGCTGATTGGAAGGCATTCTGGAACAAAACATGTGGAATTCATTACAAGATATGGTGGCTACTAACTTGGATGGCTGGAGGAGGGATTAAATAAATTCACGGAAGACATCTCTTAAGGGCTATTAATCTTAAAGATTCAATGTTATAGCAAGAGTACTGGAACTGCATTCACCAACAGTAGGGGAACAATGACAGCACAGAGGTATGTATGTCTCTGCCCAAAGATACTGGGTTGGCCCCTGCAGGAAAAAGTTGCTGTAAGAGGAGCAGGTCTTTTGTTTAAGTGAAAGTCAGCTAATACTATCACTTATCTATTCCATTTCAATTAGAATATAATAAATCAATTCTGTTACACACACACAATCATTTTATGATGGGGGGGGGATTCATCACATTATGCTAGAATGGTTAAACTGGCAGAAGTTCTAAGCCAAGTTTGGTAAAATACTTATCTCAGGACCAATATATTAATTTGAAGGAAACATGCCAAAGGTCTATGCTGGAAGTCTTTTTACTTCCTTTTCTGGTGATTTTGCTCTTTTGAGAGAGTTGAACTAATATACAATAGGTTTAAAACTATTCTAAAGCCTTCCATTTTTCTACCTTAGTTTTAAGCACTTAGTGGGTAAGCAATGTTTTTGCAAAAAAGAAAATGTACAGAAAACATGTTTCTATTAAATAAGATAGATAACTGTTATTTTTTTTTTTCTGTTGGCCTTCATGCCAGTCTTGACTCCTGCAGTTTTCTTGATAAGATTTTAAGAGTCACTTGCCCATGCCTTCTTCCTAAGGCTGAGAGAGTGACTGGCCCAAAGGCACCTAGCTGATTTCATATCTAAGGCAGAAGTAGAACTCAGGATCTTTAACCATTACACCAAAACTGGTTCATGTGTTTTAATTTTAGAATACACAATGGAGAGAGAATATGGTCTCTAACTCAGGCAATCAGCTACTTGTAGTAAGTTTGAGTGAAATAACGAGTAGATCTGTACTCTTACATATTTCAACTAAACAACAGTTCTTGAGGAGTCAAGTTATATAAATATCAACATAACCCTGAAAACTTAAAGTTTATTGGATAAAGCTAAATAGCAGTAAACAAACAAAATGCATTCCACCTAAATAAAAAAATTCACATATTTACAGAATTTCATAAATGTGTAAGTTGTTCACATGCCAAGATTAATGCAAGATTAAAAAGTTGATAGTGATTTGGGGACTTCAAAACACTGAAAGCTGTGTGATATACACTAAAATCCCAAATATGTTGAATTTAGCAAAAGGGCAGTTACGTAAACAATAATTTAGTTTCTGCAGGAAAGGTTCTAATTCAATTTCCTTATTTTTTTAGGCACAAGCAGAATTGCTTTTGTCAAGTACAGCAGTCCATGGTGAGCCACATATATAATAGGGAGTCAGTGAACCTTTTCCACAGCACCAACAATATAGGATTTTATTGAAGCATATAGAGGTTAAAAATGCAAGCTCAATTTGTAAATGGGGGCAGTACTTCTGTATTGCAACAGTGCAGGAATTTGTATAGGAACAATAAGGCCATGGCAGTTATAACTCAAAATTGATTGTGCAGGGGCATATCTTTATGTTTGTAAGCTCAGTTCAATCATTACGGCAAAAAATAGTACAGTATTTATACATTACACTTGTAATGCTTTAAGCACATTTTAAAGGAATCTAGATTTGCTGCCACTGTAGCTTCTCATTTTACTTGCTCCAGATGATCTATGACAGCTACAATAGCTTATACAAACATTTCATGTATTACTGTAAAGGTACCATTTATGCCTTTTGGCAAAGAATCCTTGAAAATAACAGAATATCTACATAAGGCGAGAGAAGTTTTGTTATGCATGCAGGCAACAAAAGAAAACATACTATAGCTAAGAACAGTACTTGATCCAATATAAAATGTTCATTTTTGAGAAACAGTTTGTACTTGAACAAGCACATTCAGAAGGTACCTATGGATGCATCAAACATATATTAAACAAGGGTTCTAAACAGCATTTAAATACATATAGGTGTTCCGTAAAATACCGTAAATGCCGGCGTATAAGGCAACTTCTGCGAGCGCTGAAATCGGCGCCAAAGACGGGGGTCGTCTTATATGCCGAGTCGTCTTATACGCCGGAAATACTGGTAGTTTCCAGTGTACAAGACGACGTTCTAGGAATGCGGCCCGGCTATAAAGACGGGGGTCGTCTTATACGCCGGGTCGCCTTGTACGCCGGCATTTACGGTAATATTACAGTGAGGAGCAACAGAAACACCTCTACCATGTATTTGCATACTGTAGCCTACCTCAACGTTACTGCATCAACAAGTTCAGCTTTGACAAACCAGTTTAGATATTGACACTACCAAGAATGTAAAGATATGAAAGTAATGTTAATTTTCCCAGTTCAAATAACCAGTACGCTGCAGAAGCTAATTGAGATAGAGAATCACTTCATAAATTATATTGTACTTCAAGACACAATTTAATGTTTCATAGCCTATGAACTTTATACATGATTACAAAGTGAGAAGCAGGCAAACCTAGTGTTGTCACAATAGCCTAGGTATTTAGCACCAAGTGCAACTGTGCACAACTACTCCATTAATAGAAGAATAAGCTAGACAGTGACACATATTTTTGTGCTGGAAATTAATATGACATCCAGAATGTCATACAGCTGTAGTCTGTGTAAAGCATTTCTAGAAGAAAGATGTGACTGTTCATCTAATTCAACATTACATTATACCTGCTTTTACATTCAATTTTTTGAGGCTGATTTTGAAATATTTTATTCCTTGCTCCACTTAAAACAACTTTAGCAAATATAAAGAAATTAGCAATGCCCTGCACAATACAAAAAAAAAAAAAAGCTGACAACCTGAATTTTTTATTCATTGGGAGAAATACAATTTGAGAATTTATGATAATTTAGTGATTTAATTGTAGTGCTTCGCACTTTCCTTTGAAACCTTTTTACAATATACATCACATGCATCTGGGAGGAAAAATTAGTACAGTATCCCATTTAAACAGTGTTGGAAAAGCTTTATAATAAGAGTTGACCAAATCCCTGTGCTGCCATGTGCCAGCATTTCCAATGAGCAGCTACATACAAGAATGAAATAATTGTGCAGAAAATCTAATATAAAAATCTGGATCAGGAAGACCGGGGGGGGGGGAATCTGAAGAAGAGGTACCCACTGCCACTGTCTAGATGAAATGAATAAAAAACATTTGCACGACTTATGACAACTCTAGCCAACTCGTTGACAGAAGTAGGATTATAAGTCATTCAGCAGTGCATATGGAGGCATGAACTGTGAAAAAAGGCAATTCCTTGGACACAGGAGGACTATCCTGGATAACAATTCATCACAGAGGGAGTAGACAATTGAGAATATGGCCAAATGAGCAGCTAGGTGAACATTTTCAGCTTCTTCGAGATTTTGAGTGCTGAATAAGCCACTGAAGTGTGATATCTAAGAAAAAGAAAAAAAAAGGCAATTGGTTTTCAAAATAATTGCTGTACCTAATCATCCTTAAAAATCAACATTTAGACTGGAGTGCACATCAATCCATTTTTTTTTTTCAGATTCCAGAAACATCCACTGTAAGATAACAAGCAGAAGTATCTTCTGTGTGGCTGAATCAATAATGAAAATATTTCTGAAGCTTGTTAAAAGTCTGTGGCAGTTATTTGAAGAGGCTTTGGTAATTTTAGTTCATTCGACATTTGTTCCTACTGCATTAGTTGGGGTTTTTTAAAAATTAAAAATGAATTTCAATGTAGGCAACAAGTGCTAATTCAAATTCTTTAGTCAGTAGGTGTTATTCTATGAAAAGCATATCTAAATATTTAATTGATTCTTTGATTTAACAAGATCCATTGTCACAGTCAATAGTTTTTTTCACAAAGCAACACTTGCTATCAACTGTTAGACATCTCATTAAAAGATATGTATGCAAGAAAATCAGATTCTTGTAAAAGAAAAAATACTGTATATAAATTTAAATAGCTCTTTAGCGCATATGGATCTTGCCTTGCATTTAACTGGACTTGAAAGGATGTTGAACAGATTTTAATACATTCCTTTTGTAGTAGTATAAATTTCTTGAATCATAACCTTAGAAACTTTGGAAATACAAGGGAGTTCTTTTCATAAATTCTAAAAGGATCTTTAAAAATATATATTTATTTTTAAGACCTCTTCAAAGACATATTTTGAAATATGCTTTCTGTTCTAGAATACAAATTTAGGTGTCATAAATAACAAACCTCAGTTTTTATAATGCTCGCAAAATGGTGATTTTCACATCAGTCTCATTTTATACAAAAAGTATTTGCCACTCAGATGACACTGATTTAAAATTCTAAAATAGCACCAGCTTTTTTTATTTTAACGTATTTTAATAGGATTATGTGTTTTTTAAAATTTTTGTTTGGGAACTGCCCAGATTTTATTATAAGAGGGGTGGCCATTTATGCAGCCTCTTTCACAGATGACAATCCAGCCTTGTTCGAAGATACTTTACAAAGAAAAACTCATAACTTCATGTAGCAGCCTGTTCCACTGGCTAACAGCTTGATGTCTAGCCTAAACCTTTCTTTAATTCTACTAGTTGCTTGGCAACACAGAATAAATTCATTCCCTCATCTTGTGAAAACCTTTCAGATATATGAACACAGCTATCCTATCTCCTCTGAATCATCTTTCTGTATACTAAACATACCCAGATCCTTTAACTCAGGGGTTCCCAACCAGGGGTGCTCGCATCCTCTGGGGGGTACGAGACAATATTCCAGGGGGTGCGAAAACTTGGATTTTCAAAATTATATGTATAATTCATTGCCGTTATTTTGAACTTTTGTAAGGGGTGCAAGAATATATCAGAAGCATTCTAGGGGTACAGGTATAGAAAAGGCTGGGAGTCTCTGCTTTAACTGTTCCTCAAAGACTTGGGTTTTCAGAATGGTACTTTAGTAGCCTTCCTTTAAACTTGTTTCAATTTGCCATTGCCCTTTTTTAACTGTGGTAGCCAGGGGAAACACACTGTGTACTCCAAAGTTAACATTATTGATTTTGTTATTACCTATATTGTCCTTTTCTTTGCAAGAAATGGAGTAGCAGCAGATTTCTCTGTCTTGAATAGCAGCCAGGTTCCTGGAAGAGAAGCAACTCATAATTTGGTGAAAATTTAACAGCAACATCCTATTAAACCTGACATAAATGTGATTCACGTTAAAATATTAATTAATTAAAGGCAATTTATTGGAAACTTTCTCCTATGACAGCAGGCATATTTGTATATCAATATAACTAAAATAATCCATCGTTATAAAGCTCAGATACAGATCATTTTATAGACCAGCAAATAGACTGTTCTTTATTTAAAACAATTCTGTGATGTATACAGGACATACCCATATTTACCACTGATAGACAATATTCCAAAGGCCCTTGTATGGCTGAAAAAAATAGCAAATTATCACGTGATCTCATTTCTTCCTACTACCCATATTGCAAAAAAAAAGTATTATTCTGCAAGTTTCATGCTTCTTAGGCCCTCAAAATACAACCCTCCAAGAAAGAATCCCAGATTACTAAGAGTGCTTTCTACCCATTCTAAGCCCCCCTGCAGTTTGATTTAGCATCTAACCCAAATGAAGAGATGATTCCACTTTGTGATTAAGCCAGAGAGGTGGCCTACTGAATCAATTGGCCAGGTGACTTCTGAATCAAGGAAAAAGTCTATAAAAAACAACTGCATGGTCTACTGTGCCACATGAACGGGGCTAACACAAAATTAATTAACTTTTAAGGCTTGTGCATGTCAACTTCCAGAATTCGCCAGCCAGCATGGAATTCTGGGAGTTGAAGTCCACAAATCTTAAAACTGCCAAAGTTGGACACAGTAGTCTAAAACTTATTTTTTAAAAAAAACCGTAAAATATGCTTGCTTACTCACATTTTTTCAATAAGCTGCTTCTCATCCAGTGCATTAGCAAGATCTCTTTTGTTTCCAAGTACTAGAACCTGAAAAGAGAAAATATGTACTGATTTTTAGCATTTATTTTTTTGAGGAAGGAAGCAGTTAAATTTCATTTCAACAAGAATCAATCTTTTGTGACACATAGAGGAAATATTAAGGAACTAAAATAGCAGCATTTATTCCCTCATAGGAATAGCCAATTAGCCAGATAACCCATAGACCTTAACAGAAGCACTCAGAAGCTGCAGGGAAAACCATTTCAAAAGGAAAATTTGATAACAGTAGATGAGAAATTGAATAGTACAAGTCGAAATAATTGGCCAATGGATAATCATTTCAGCTCAGTCTTTTTTTGCACTGATAGTCCAAAGCTCTTTACTTTGTCTTGTGAAACAAGATATTCCCGTCTTGTTTAATAATTTACCCAGTGCCTCAAGATATTTTAAATCACTCATCCCTTTAGCAACTTGTACATTGGTCTACAATTTCAGTATATTTCTATGGTCTATTGCTATGGAAGCTTTTAGAACAGGGGTCCCCAACCCCCGGTTCACACCCAGGTACTGGGCTGCAACCCATTCAGAACCGGGCCTCAGAAGTGATGAGTGCACACATGTGCATGTTCATGTGTGAAACCATCCCCTCTCTCCCCCCTCCCCCCGCCTCTGCTGAGCCGGAAAGGTTGGAGACTGCTGTTTTGGTAGATCTATTTCAACTCACATTATCTTAACAAAACCTAAAAAAATAAACGTAAGAATCAGAGAAAGATTTACCTGACAAAGATGTATTTAGCTAGCAGTATATCAAACTTCAAGAAAAAGTGTCCACAGACAATGTAATTATTTTCTAAACAAATAATTTCAAACCCATTTTCTTATCAATTTCTTCAAAAATTTTCAGGCAGGACTAACATGTCCACTACTCACAGGAATTCCTTGTAGCTGTGGTTTGTCTAGAAGATTGTGCAACTCATTTCTAGAAGCTTCTATTTTTTCACGATCCGCAGCATCTACCATATAGCTATTAAAAAGAATTAGTTTGAACCAATTTGTGCAATGCAAGATACACCGGTCCAGCAGTATTACCAACATTCCCCTCCCAAAATAATTAGGGCAGAAGCCCCTAACGTTTTGGGCACCACGGACCAGTTCTGTGGAGAAAGGCTTTTCCATGGACTGAAGTTGGTGTGGTTTTGCATGCTGCCTGCATCCCACAGATGAGGCTTCACTTGTTTGCGTGGCCACAAGTAAAGCCTCACGTGCGGGATGCAGGCAGCATCCCGCAGATGCTGTTAGGGGTGACTGGTGCCAGTACACAGACTGGGAGTAGAGGACCCCTGAACTAGGGATTTCAACTAAATATTACAAAAGGTATCAGTAAATTGCGAGCCAATCTCATTTAGTGACTAAAAACCTATTTAGTGACCCCACCACACTCATCAAAGTCGTAGCACAGCATGGCTAAAATTATATTAAAATATGTTGCAACTTTTCAGAATTCTTCTTCATAGTAGCTGAGGTGAAGTAAGAAAACAAGTCAAATTTGAAAATTGTACAATTGATCATCTTTGGGATCGGTATTCCCTAAATATTTCCCTATGCTGTACTTAAAATACGATGATACCTGTTTTTGTAACAGAGTTTCAACATTTTAATTCTATAGGAAGTACTCCACTTATAACTGGTCACTTAATGATTTTCATCTGAAATTATGACAGGGTTTCCTGCCTGAGCAGGGGGTTGGACTCGATAACCTCCAAGGTCCCTTCCAACTTTACTACTACTACTACTACTACTACTACTACTACTACTACTACTACTATTATTATTATTATTATTATTATTATTATTATTATTATTACCTCCCCAAAAGCTAATTACAACACAGTTTTGAAGTTACAACAGACATGCCCCTCTGTGGTCATGTAATTGCTTTTTGGCATTTGGGAACCAGCTGAACATTATGGTCAACAGTCATATGACAGTGATTTTTGATATTTTTTGCTTGTTTTAGACAAAAAACACCCATTGGGTGAAATGGATTCACTTAACAACCATGACAAAAACTATCATAAAATTAGATTCAGTCATGTGTTGACCTACTTAACAACCATAACAACTTATAACCATACTTCTGGGCTGAATTACAGTCAGAAGTCAAGGACTATCTGTATTCTGTGTCACCACAGAGTTCCAATATGGCTTCTAAGCCATGTTAAATATTCCATAATAGTGAATTCCAAGTTTTCATTTATATTTGCAACCATTAAAAACATTTTCATTTAAACTGACATCATCCAACTATAATGTAAACTTATGTAAATTACAGAGCCATGTTAACTGAAGTATTTACAGTCAGAATATTACTAATAGAATAATACAAGAAACAGCTGCAACAAATCTTAGGCTAACATTCTTCACTTCCCAATCGCAAGATACATTTGTAAGTTTTCATTACTTAATAATAACTTCAGTTTTGTAATATTCTATTTTAACTTGTTTGGAATCCTTTGTCATGTCATTATGCTATAAACCTTGAGTCATTAGGGAACACAGTAGTTTAGAAATATAGAAAATAAACTATATTGCAATTTAGTTTATTTTCTATATTTCTAAACTGTTATGCATGTTTTTTATAAGACAACATGAAATTAGAATCCTGTATTCATCATGTTTAACTTCACCATCATGCCCTTAAGCTCATTCTTTTAGAAAACCTTGAAGGTCTCACATTTGCAAAGTATAATTTGAGATTACCAAGTGCTGCAAGTTAGTGTTACTAGGTCTGAGCTGCAAAAATTTGATGACCACTAGATGGCAGAAAATGATTCTGAATCTCTTTGCCACCATTTAATGGTCATCTGGATTTTTGCAAGCTCAATCTTAAATTTAATCTCAAGCCTTGTTTCATTCTTCTGAGATAGAAGCATTTAGCATTTCCAACAGGAGCTAAGCGCCCTTTTTGCTGGGAGGGAGACATACTGGTACTTCTTGGGTTATGATGGCATTTGGGACCTCTGTCATTAACTGTCATTAAATCAAGTTCACCGTATTTGGAATCACTGTTCCGGCATTTGGGACCACTGTCAATGACAACTGTCATTAAGTGAAGTGTAAAGTGGTTGTCACATGAACACACAGTTTAGCTGTCATAATCCCAGGACTGCGTGTGTAGTTAAGTGGGAAGAGGCAGGAAGAGTCCCAGGTAAGGAGAACGGGCAAGCCAGTGATGGTTGGAGGATGCTGAGGAGTGTGGAATGGGCCAGCAAAACCCAAAGGCAAGCATTGGGATAGTAGATAAGTATGCAGTATGGCAATCAGCCAGGCAGGAGAGGGGGTGCTGAAGCTCTACACAAGTGGGTCCAGGTCAGGGGTAGGCAACCTTGGCTCTTTTATGACTCGTGGACTTTAACTCCCAGAATTCCTGAGCCAGCCATGCTGAGGGGAAAGGGAGAGGTTTCCAAGCTGAGCCCTGCTGGCTCAGGAATTCTGGGAGTTGAAGTCCACGAGTCATAAAAGAGCCAAGGTTGCCTACCCCTGGTCCAGGTGTAGTGGGTCTAATACTCTGTAGTGGGTTTGAGAAAAAGTGGCAGGAGTGGCTTGCAACCTTTCTTGCTGGCTTCCCCATTGACTTTGCTTATTGGAAGCTAGCAGGGAAGGTCACAAATGGTCATGTGACCATGAGTTGCTGCAATGTCGTAATAGCCAGCCAAGAGCTTGAGCACCCAGCTCTCAATCATGTGATGGCAGGGACACTGAAATGGCTGAAGCTTCATGGACTGGTCATAAGCTCCCTTTATTCAGCTCCATCATAATTTTAAACAGTCGCTGGTCATAACTTAAGGACTACCTATATAAAGTCAGCTTCTCGGAAGGGAGAGGCAGATTACGAATTACACCACCAGAAAAGGGTCAATAATTTTTTATTTTGTGCTTTTGGAAGGGAGAATTTTAAGTAAATTAGATGCTTTAAGCTTAGCATAGCCTTTAAGTATCTATTTTGCTTCTTCTTTTGTGACATAAATAAATAAATAAATACCATCATCTTGTGAGATTTTGTTACTAAATTTCTGAAATAGGACATGGAGGCCTAACCAAGGAGGGGGTTAGGTGAGACCTATAGGCTTTCAAGCCTTAGTTTAGAGAAGTCCATGGTTTTGTAGTCCAGACTTCCTTCTAAGCAGATGAGTATAACACGCAACAAAACACAACAGAAAAATAAAACATTTAAAGTAACCAAAATAAAGAGGAAAAAAACCTTACACAATAGCATTAACTCCTCTGCAGTAGCGTTCCCACATACTTCGGAATCGTGGCTGTCCTCCTATATCCCAAATCTTTTTAAGAGGGAAAAATAAAAAGAATTATATCTGAAGATTTTGCAACTTATTGAACACTATAGCTCAGGATGTTTGTTTGCCAGGAAGAGCAACCAAACACCTCTTTTAATACTCCTGCAATATAAGATGCTGGTTAAAGAACCTAGAAAGTTCTGAAGAATCCAAACAATGCAGACAAGGTAATTTGTCCCTATGTACCGTATGCAGAACAGCACAGCTTCTATTCATCATGGACTGGATACTACAGAATGTACAGATTTCATCAGCCTTGCCTCTACCCTCAAAAGAGTCCCATACAAAATATCACAGGGTCTCTGGCCACCTTGTCACTCCTGTATTTCTCAAAAGGAACAGGGTCATCTCAAATAGGTCTAGTGGGCAGAAATTTATGGCTACAATAACAGCAAAGAAGTGCAAATGTTTTGCCACTGTTATTACTACTTTGTAGGCCAGTGTGCTTAGTCAAATTCATCTGCAATCTTTTGCAGCCATTGCTCTAGATACCTTTAATTAGTTTCCTCTCCCACCAGTGGTGGAATAAGAAGCTCGCAAAAGCTCGTAGAGACAATCTCATTCGGTAGTCTGGTTTTACACTTACACTGTCCAGGCCTAGGACACAACTTGTGAACTTGAAACCCAGCAGTATAAGATGGTGGGTGCAATAGTTCTGAAGCCTGAAAGACTTCCCTCAAAAGATTTATTTTGAGCAGTCATATTTATAGGTTATTACATGAGTTTGTTGCTCACAGACAGGGCTACACACATATTTTCCCCTGAGATTTTAGTAAAGTGTTACATGTTATGTTTTCCTTCTATATTTGAACACAGCAAATCAGGGAACTACGTTAATCTTATTCAACGCAACTTAGTGAATAATTATATTAAGACAGTCTCATCACTCTTCCCATGCTTTTCTCATTAGCAAAATATAATTACCTTAGCAAGCAGGATACGTACCTTTATTGTGACATTACCCTTGGTAACTTTCCGCATGTTAAAGCCCACTGTAGGAATCATGTCTTCACTGAACTGGCCTGACTGAAAACAGAAAAGAGATAGGCTTTAATAAGATCTGTCAAGTAACTAAGTTATCTTTTCAGTCAGTTGCTTTCAGATGCAAGGATTATTGCTGGATAGATCAGAGAACATTTATAACACTAAGTCTTAGCATTATTTTTCTTACTCTTCTGTCAGAGAAGATTAATTTTTGCAATTACAATTGTTAATGAGCAGGTATCACATGTGAGAGAGGCCAGGAAAATTATGAGGTGGAAAGAAAAGGAATGGAAGAGAACAACACATAGAGTCATATGTAATGACTCAAAAATATCTTGTTGGTTTAGAAAAGTTGCATAGAAAATATTCAAGCTTCCCAGCATACTCTATTAAATCTAGATGGCTACTCCATGAAATAGTTTTCCCAAAAAGTGTTAGGAAACAGCACTGGCCAATTAGAATGTCTCATGTTGTTCCTTTTTTTTAAAATTGGACAAAAGCATAAAAAAATAATCTTTCCAACACCCCAAGGCAACACAATAGCATCTGGAAGAACCTGAAAAACTTATGCACTTCATGGGAAAGTATAAAGTCAGTGTCATACAACATTATTCCAAAGCATAAAACCTGAAAGTTTACTTAAAGGATGAGCCCAGGCTTGAAACACTTGTGAAATATGATAAATGGATTTTCAAAAATTACATCTAATATTATAATGTAACATAACATTTAAGTCATTTATACTTTTATTAAAGCATTTATTGCTACTTATTTCAATACGGTAGATTCTAAGATGGGACAAATATGATAAAATACTTCAAAATATATTTATGTGTTAAATTTGTTTGCTGCCCATCTCGCAAGGCGATTCTGGGTGGCTTATATTTTCAATAAATGCAAACACATGCCTATGTATCTCCCTTGAATTCATGAAGTACTTGCTCTAGGCAAGCTCAGTGGCAATCTAGAACAAGAATGTAAAGCTAGCCTCAAGCTGATCTCTCAGGATCTGCTGAGAAAAGAAGCAGGCAACACCAGAATCGATCTTCTACACGTAGTATTTCCTCCACCTTGAATACTATTAAAGGTGCCGCTTGGCATCTTTGCTACTTCTTTTCCCAAGGATTTTTGCCTAGCTTAGAACTCCATAGGGCAGTCATGGCGAACCTTTTAGAGATCCAGTGCCCAAACTGCAACCCAAAACCCACTTATTTATCACCGGATGCCGGGTGGGTGTGGCCACGCTGGTCATGGCAGACTGGGTGGGCGGGGGCCAGGATGGCGGGGACCAGTCCCTCGCCATCTCCGGGGCATGGCACGCATGCCCACAAAGAGGGCTCTGAGTGCCGCCTCTGGCACGCGTGCCATAGGTTCGCCACCACTGCCATAGGGGCTTGGAATGGATGTGGCTGGTCTTGACGAAGAGTGAACTTTCACTCTTCTGTTCAAAAAGCAAAAGGATAGGAACTTGCTATGCTGAGGGAGGCAAAATATATCTGAAATCTGTTCCCTGATGATTAAACCGTAAACACCCACACCAAGATGTTTGCATTGCTATTCCATAAGATGCCATGAGTCTATGGACATTGGAATAAAAACTGTATGTGATTTTGATCCCAACAAAGACTCATGGCATCTTATGGAATAGCAATGAAAAACATTCACAGTATATCGCAAAACTATGCAATTAGATTGAAGCACGGATTCCTAGTATGTAAAAGAAACTGACAGCTTGATGGAGCAACAGGACAATGACTGTATATTATGACATGGGTAGGCAATTCTTTTTTTGTCAGCCACTCAGGTTCATAGAAGGTAGGACAATGAAGTCACAATATTATATAAATTGGAGGAGCTTTGATTTTACAGCTATTTTTTGCATTTATAATTATTGTTTAAAAGAAGCTGCTAAGGTATAGGAAATCCATCCAATTATTTACACATCTTATTTTTCATTTAAAAATAGTAGGAAACCATATCGGATATTTTCTAAACTTCCTGACAGTGAGGACAATTAACCAGTGGAACAGCTTGTCTCCAGAAATCATGGGCGCTCCATCATTGGAGATTTTTAAGAAGAGTCTAGACAGTCACTTGTCTGAGATAGTATAGGTTCTCCTGCTTGAGCAGGGGGCTGGACTAGAAGACCTCCAAGGTCCCTTCCAGCTCTATTCTATTTTATTCATGGAAATCCATCAATATAAATTTGAAGCTGCTAAGAACTGCACAAAGGGTGCTTAGAGGCCACAGTGCAGTTCACAATTGGTTAATACTTGTCTTTTAGGAAGTCCAACTACTTTCAGTTCCTGTGGCAAATGCTTAGTTAGCTGCTTTGTAATATTAGCAGAATATATTTAAGTCAGAGAGCAATAATTGTCCCAGGGATGCAGTCTGTCCACAGTTTCTCAGTTCATGATATGCAGCACACTGACTGTGAGAACTAGGGTGCTAAAGTATTACTATATGCATATATAGTATTTCCTGGGACAAAACAAGATAGCCCCATCTTTAGCAGCTGCTTCCCAGCTTCAGACATCATGTGAGTATTTTTTATGGGTATTGTAAATATTATCAGCTAAAGCTTGCAGTCAAGGGTGGAAAGAAAATTGGTTTAACCTTTCCCACACTGTATATTCTCTACTGAATTCAGTGTATTTTACTAGACTGAACCCACTTGTCAGAATGTCAACATGTCCTTGCAAGGTGCATTCAGTTTAAATAAATCAGGATCTAGTGCTAACTATCAGTTACTTAAATAATTCATTCTTCAAAAAAGGGAATAAAAAACAAAACAATAAAAAGCCTGATTATTCTAGTTATGTTCTGCTAAATCACAAATCTGAAATATATTTCTAGAATTCCCAAAGATAAAGACAAGTTCTTACGCGCTGAACTCTTGGAAACATTTACAAATATAGGATTGGCGAAAAACACAAGTTGACTGACAAATCAGTCATTCTTCCACTATGGAAAATAATAATGGATTCTTCACTCTGCATTTTTGCTACCTCTTGCTCTGAATCCTACTTAAGTTCACAATGCTCCCAAATAACAAATCAATTTACTGTAGCAGTTCAGTCATTCTGTAACAGGGCCCCCAAATATCTATTAAATAGACGATGGCATCATTGCATTGATTTATATTAGCTGCTTAATAACATCATTATCCAAATGATAAAATGTGCATCTTTTGCAGTATAGCATCACCACATAAGTGACTCAACCCCATTTCCTGGTCAGCTGACCTTCAGAGGCCTTGGCTTTTAGCTGCTGCTGCTGCTGCTAAACACAGTGTTAGCTGTATAAAGCCTCCTTTAATCACAGATGAAAGAGCCAACCTGGTGTCTATTACCGAGATCTCTCAAAAATATGCCCAGCTGGGTTTTGGATATGACATCAGCTCTTTCTTAAGGTGTGTTGCTCCACAAGTTACTGGATATGAGATCCTGTTTTTGAAGTTGGGCTACAGCAGTGATGGCGAACCTTTTAGAGACCGAGTGCACAAAAACCGCCCCCCACCCATCATTCTGCCCCGCCTGTTCCACCCCCGCCCTCACCCCATCCCACCTGCCAGGCCACCGACCACCTCCACGGCCCACTGCAGATAGCTCAAGCGGCCTTGCAGCGTCATGGACATGCCCTCCATCCACGCCCCCACAGCATCATCTGCACGTGACAGGGCGCGAGGGCGGAGTCTTGCCCCTGCTGCCCAGCTGCCATATGCTTGGCTGCACTGCTCCACGCCTGGGGGACAACTCTCCTCTGGGGGGGGCTGCTGATGAGGGGGCTGCGGGGGGAGGTAGGACTGGTGCGACAGCACGTGTGCCCACAGAGAGGGCATAGGTTCGCCACCACTGGGCTATAGGAATCTTTGGGGACTGTTGCTATTGTACCAGCCTCTCAGCTGCATAGCAAAGTCCTTGCCTGAGCTTCTTGACTCTGTTTCAGGGTTGGCAGTGCAGTTCCCCAGGTTTGTGGTCCTGAGGACTTCAATCTGCTTTCCCTGGGGACAGCTCTGAGGTAACATAGGAGTTTGTGGTCAGGGTCTATCCCTAGTATGGGTCTATCCCAGATCATCCAGAGCCCAACCAGGGACAGTGGTCACACCCTGGTTTCTCATCAGAGCAGCAGCAATATTATCTGGATTTGGGGGAAATGGTCAGATCTTGCCCTGGTAGTAATCAGATCCTCTGGCACTGCCCCCTGGCAAAGGAAGATTGGGTGTATTCGATTGGTCCACTCACAGTGACTGATGAACCCAGATGGGTTCCAGAGCTGGGCTTATTCCTGATGGTTTGCCTGAACCTCGGTCAGTGTGTGAACCGCAGGGCAGCTGAGGCTCTGAATCAGATCACAGTCATTCAACCTCTCCTCTCTCATTGGTCCGATTAATCTGCATGGTTTACAGAAAAGCTTAGAGTAATGAAACAGGTCCTGTTATATGGCATTCTACAGGGTTCAGCATTCTCTCCACTCCTATTTAATATCTTCATGAAACCGCTGGGTGAGATCACTTATCGCCGTGGAATATGGTATCATCACCTTGTTGTACATTGTCCAGAGTAATTTGTCCATAAAATGGGCGGTCATATAAGTATGATAATATATTTAGTAAAGCTACTAAACAAAGCTGTGGTTTCAGTAAAAAGTGCACAAGCCTTCTGCTTAAATGGCCACCTCTATTAATGAGTATATGCAAATTTTGGGTACAGTTGCAATAGACAGCATAGTGAAAAGTCAAATCGTTTGATCTGTGTTTCTTATTCTATATTCCTTCTAGGAGTTCAAAATAGAATACAGAGAATTATAGAATTATATCATGGCCGATGATACACTGTTAATATTCTACTGTTTTGCTCAAAGCTGGAAAACAGCTATGCTGTGTGATATATGTTACTAAAACATAAGAAATGAACCTCAATTATAGCAATACTGTTGAAGTAAACAAAGCTGGTTGTAACCATGTTGTGGATAACTGCTAAATTCAACTAGCTCATATCACAGTTTGCACACTAACCATAATTGTAAAAACACATTCATTG